TGCGTTCCATTAATTGTCCATTATATCATCTCTGTATTTCGCTGCACTTTACTTTTTATTTGTTTTTGTGTATTTTGCATTGTTTCTGTTATTGTATTTTTTGTATTTTATCTTGTGAAGCACTTTGTGAGTCCTCTCTGTGAAAAGTGCTATATAAATAAAGTAGAAGAAAAAAGAAAAAAGATTTGATGGCCAAAACCTTAGTAATGACACAGGGCCTATCGCAAATGACCACTGGGCTGCCTGAAGTTATTGTGGGAGCAATCAAACCTCGATTTGCTGCGACGATTGATTCCAAGGATGCACTTCTGGCTGCTGTCTCGCTGCCAAAGTTCAAGCTGCACTGGGTAAAAGAAGAAGCCAGAAGAGACCACATCAAGTTCCTCCTCACAACGGTGTGCCACTCCCTAACAACAGACGAGCCTATAGCCCTGATGCCCGATCCCCCTCAACCTGCTGCTGTTGCCTCCAGCGAGGATGACTTTTTTTCTTTTGATGTACAGCCCAGTGCCACAGCTGATGCATCCATGTCAGTGGAAACAGAGGTAATGTCTTATCTCAGTTCTGCCCCTGTGATGGAAAGCCTGCACATGTTTCCAAGGATTAAAAAAATTGCACTCAGCTATAACACCCCAACACCATCCAGTGCACCAGTAGAAAGACTTTTCAGTCTTGGGAATCTTGTGCTCACCCCAAAACGCAACTGTCTTAGTGATGGACGCTTTCAGCGCCTTCTCCTGATGCGCTTCAACAGATATTTCAGTCAAGTGGGTGGTGGAATAGGCTAGTCCCCCCCACCGCACCCTAGAACCACAAGTAGGCTATGTCCAGGCCATAACTGCCTTTATAGTTCTGTTTACTTTACCAGCCTTCTAGGCTGCATGCTACCTCTGTTGTATAGGCCATTTGGCAGCAACAGGTTTCCTGTTAAGCATTCATTTTTTATTTTCAATTTTATGTTTATTTATTTATCCAATCTTACATTTTTTTGTGAAGTTGGGAGTGAAATGACTGAGCTGTATTTCCTATTTGTCTAATAGGCCCATGCACTTTTATTTTCAGTATTCTTGAAATATGTGCTTTAGTTAGAGTTCTAGCTATAAGTGATTGAAATTTTACCAGCCTTTCTGTGGTAGCCTACGTTTTAGCCATTTTTTTGGCAAATTGCCTGGTTTCTCTGGCCTGTGTTTTATTGATTAGCAGTTGTAGGCTATGTTTAAATTACATGTTAATTTTTGTTGGACTGAAATAACTGAGCCATGTTCCTTGAGGTCTAGTCCTCCAAAAGCACTTTTTGATTTTTCATAAAGCAGAAGTTATGTCCATTCAGTGCATGGCATCTTTGTGCTGTTTGAATTAAAAGAGAATAAAACAATAGAAACTAAAAGAAAACGAGATTGTGTGTTTGTCATATCATAAGGCTATAGGTTATGTTATAGTGGGCTCTAGCTCTATTTTGTTTCATATGAATAGGCCAAGACTTTAAATATTTGCAGCATCTCTATCATAACTTACAGACTTTGATCCTTTGTCTGCTTGTATGACAGTCATTGTTACTTATTGTATTGCACCATGAGCCTTTACTGTGCCTATTATATTAAATTGTTAGTAGCTTTAGGGGCCTACACAGTCATTATGTTACATCACCCTCCACTGAATGTAAATAATCAGCTACAACAATCTGAATTTTAGCATTTTAAATGCTTAGTCATACATTTCTGCGGCTATTTTGTTGAAAGTAACTCAGAAGTAATGCAAAAGTAGTGTAATGCATTACAATTCAGAGATAGTAATATTGTAATGTAATTAATTACTTTCAAATGACAGTAACTAATAATATATAATGTATTATATTTTGGATGTAACTTGCCCAACACTTGGTGCGTGTCTCCACCGCAGGAACCACCCCTGAAGGACAGAGTTCCGGAACTTTTATAGGGGCTAATCAAGTCCCTGCCTCGGAGTAGGTACTCAGAACGGCCCCGAAAAACTCCTGGGTGGTGCTTGGGGTTTACTTGGTGCTGATTGGATATACTCAAGGTGGGATGTGAGGTCAACAGAAAGCAACAAAATAGCCGGCATTTTTAAAACTCGTCGCCCTGGTCAAAATGGTCGCGCAACGATTACGTCACATCCAGAGCCCGGTAACTTTACGGGAACCTTCCTCCTATTCCACCCTCTCAGTGGAGACACGGCGGTTGAGAGGGCCAAGTGAGAGGACATTCCTGTAAAGTTCCTGCCCCCCAAATAGTACCAGGAACTTCTTCAGTGGAAACAGGCCTTATGTGTACTATTTGTAGAAGTAGTATTATTTGTAGTAGTATGCATACTACTTGTACTAATAGAGGAAGCAGCAGTACCTGTATAAGTAGTACTGATGTTATTTGTTTGTTCATTGTTTGTTATTCTAATATAATATTTCAATATAATTTATAATATAATTAAATTGTTAGATGCGACAAATACTCTATTTGCTGTTTTTCCAGTTTAAATGTACTGCCTGCCTCAGGTCTTCATTTTGTTCCTGTACAGTCCCACAGTCATGTTCTCACATGACTAAAACAGCCAATCACAAAATTTCTCAGCCTACAGGCTGGCACACATTACAGGATTTTTCAAACCTTCACAGATTTAGAGACCGCACACTTGATCATAACAAAAGACAGATCGCACAAGATCTCTCTCTTCTGATCTTATAGTGTATGGTGTGCAACAAGATGAACTACGGAGTACACCGTACACTAACCGATTCTTCAGCAGAATGGGACGGATTTTTTAATGAACCACTTCACCCTTCTCACAACCATGAAGGGGTTGAATAATTTAGATTGATAAATTTGATTTTGATTCATAGGTGAAGACGCATGCACGATCTAATCTATCCTGAAGCCACTGTTATGATGATGCTAAATGTGGTTAGCTAGCTGTTAGCGATTACTTACCGGGTACATCCATTGCAGCAGTAATTTCGGTCCAACTCTTCTCTTTGTCCGTTCTATTGTGGTAAGTTTTGGATGAAACGTTAAGTGCAACACACACTGCCGCCGACACTAAAGTGTATTTCCCACCCCAGCCTGCTAGGTGGCTGTACCTACACTAGTTGCCAACGGCTGCCAACAGCAAGTAACGGAAGAAGAAGAGGAAAAACTTTGCATCTCGCGTCTTGATTGGCTGTTGGTCCGGTACACGTGACATTACACACTGTACGTGCTCGGCTCCTCTTGGAACACCCCACTCGCTACAGGATTTCTGGTCACAAATATTTGTTCATTATTTACGATCTCTCCTTCTGAGGCCTTCCGAGCAGATTGGACTGGACACGATCACTCTTAACACACCCCACACCACAGGAAAATCAGACACGATGTCATTTGGAAACATCACACAATTGGGCCTTTGCTGTCTTTGATTGTAAGGGGGAGATCGGTACAAAAATCAGCCTGATTATCCTGTAATGTGTACCCAGCATTAGCCAATCAGAAAATTGGATTGCTCCTTCACCGTCTGTATCAAATTTCACCTGCAGTTCATGAGTGTGTTCAGTAGGGGGAGCCCAAGAGAACGCACATGGACACACACTTTTCACTTTACTATGTCAATGAGGACTTCTTCTGAAACTTATACAGATCACTCATTGGGACTAAAGGAGCTCATCTAAGCATTTTCCTTGTGTGGCCCAGGAAACATGTCCTCACAAGGAAAAATGTCCTCACAAGACAGGTTGTTTGTCAGGGGTTGGTCCACACAAGTAAACACACACACACACACACACACACACACACACACACCACGCTTGTATAGTAAGTTAGATAGAATTTGTGTGTCTTGTTTTGCTTTGCTTCCTTTATGAATAAATATATTTCTGGAATCATACCTGCTGTCTGTTTGTTGTTGCACAAGAGTGAATGAATAATCAACCTCTGCTATGTCAAGAACTCCAAAATCCTTCAGGGTTTATTATTAATTTTGGTTTTGAATATTAATTTAATTATTATTGAAAATTCCAAATTGATAGTTTAGTGAACTTTATGAGACTGATATCTGTAACTGGCTATCATGTTTCCCTTTTCGGGAATGGTGCCCCACGAGGTGATTTAATATAAATTAAGTCACATTATCAAACATAATTGATAATTATTAATAATAATTATTAATTACTTCAGATAGACAATTTGATACTTTAGTTGGAGATCTATTACTAGGTCAGGCCCATGTTAAGGCTTAACTTACAACAAACAGTGCCATGTAAACATAGCACTGGTGCCTAGATCACAACATTTTGGGTGTCCCCGTGTGACAAATAGATTCCAAACAAAAAGTCTAGTAAATTCCCTAAAGTTTTGGTGCCTCCGTGTGACAGCCAGTATTGTTCCTAAAATTTTTGGTGTATGCAGCAACCAATACAATACCATAGGCCAAGCAGTCGACCCGCTACGAACAGTTGTGTTTTGATTGAGCACTGCACTCGTCTATGAGTGTGATCTTTTAATTTACCATCATCACCACCATCATTAATGTTATTGTAAACTGGTGAGAAATCATCATCACTGATTACTGTTATACCTGGTCCGGCTGCATCCTCACAGTGTGGTACACTGCAGTACTCCCAGCGGCTTTTAGTGTCAGTAGTGTAACACCAGGGTCTCCTCTCATTTTCTGGGTTACGACAGTAGTTGTTAACCAGGCCTCTGACAAACAACAGACAGTAATAATGATAAACACAGGCAAACCAAAAAATGAAGGCAACATGCCATAGGTCCCTCTTTTATGAAAAACAAAATTTCTCAGTTACAGTAGCTCTTACTTTCCAGGATAGTTGTCTGGCGTGCGGTCGTGTTGGTGTGGCGTCTGAGCCGACCAGCTCTGGCATGTTTTGCCAGATTCAGTTACAGCAGTGGTGCCTCGGTATGCTTCACCTTTACTTGTGATACAGGTCTGATCTGGTATGACTGTGGGAGGTTCGGATGTTGAGCACAGAAGATGAGATGAATTGGTTATAGAACTCAAAGAAAATACAAGTTAAGTAGTGGTGCTTTAAATAATGTCAAATTACAAAATGAAACTGACTGTGAAAATAATAATTACTAAATAGCTGCTGTAACCATTTTTATGCATGTAAATACACACACACACACACACACACACACACACACAAAATAATTATTGAATGTATTAGTGAGTAGGTGTGTTGTGTTAAATATTTGTAAGCTGCAGATACAGCACCTCTGTGCTATAACTGAAATGATGTACTACGTTTAATGATTTATTTTTGTCAAATAATGATATGGTGTATTCTTTTCTTCCTCGGGTTGCGATGCAAAGTCAGTCTGTCATTTTGATGGTCCTGCAACAGGAAGTGGTTAAACATCACGAGGCACTTAACTCACACCTTTACTCAAAATGTGCATGTACATATTTTCTATAGTTCTTATTGCTTGTAAATGCCTTTAGTGGTTACATTTCCTCATAATTCTGTACCTGTGCAGCCAAGACACATTTTTACATTTTGACTCTCAAGTGAAAAAAAAAAATCCTCTGATCTGGATTATGTCAAACCACAAATGGGTGCATTAATACATCTACATACGTAAACATAACATGGACTCAGTCAAACAGGCGTACAATAGAGCTGTTGAGGTCTTTAATATTCATACAATGACCCAATGAAACTGAATGGAATGTCTATTTGATCTAATTTGTTTATATCTTAAGACGCAGAATGGATTTTTTAAAGGATGAGTTCACCCCAGTCCTGTTCCAATCCTACACTGTCAGGCATTTAACTTGATTTCTGAGAGGTGATTCAAGCAGTCAAGTTTTATGAGAAGGAGATCATCTCTAAAATTGGCTTTTAGCCAAATGATTTTTTTTTAGCTATCTTTCAAAACTATTTGGGGGCTTTTTGTAAGTTATTTCAGGGTACAATGAATAAGAATAACAACATTATTCAACATTTTTCATATGTCAACATCATAATAAATCTCCAGCTGTTTGGAGCCCAGGTGTGTCCCATAGCAAAGCAAAACTGAAGATGAGATCTCCTTTATATCACATTTACATCTCCTAGATATAAATGAGCACTAATTGAGACCAAAGTGGTTTTCTCATTCTTCTCAAATGTCTCTCCTGAGAAACAAGTCTCACAGTGAGCACTGTGCGAGTTCTTTAAATTCTCTCACAGCTGTCTCTTTTCCTGATCTCAGCTAAGAGAAAAATGAGACATACTGTGCCGCTTTCAATTATGTCTCAATTTGATATCCTTACTTGAACACACTATCTCAGTTATGTCTCTGTGAGAAATATACATGGTTCTGTCTCTCACTGCTCACTATTTGAGTTCTCAGATTCTCTTACAGTTGTCTCTTTTCTAGCGTCTCAGCAACAAGAAAAATGAGAGTAGTGCAAGCTCTCAAATGAGTTTCAATATGATACATGATTTAATATTATACCTCAATCATATATCAGTTTATCTCATGCCAAAATTTGAGAAAATAAGTAATCAATTCAGGCAAATAATTTATGAGATATATGGTTTATTTACATAATGTTCAACTTACAAAATTTGTTGATTGCTTACACAAGTCATATAACTCATTAATTACAATTTTAAGTTCCAAAACTTAACCCATGATGTGCTCAAAAGACACCTTTTTGGGACTTAAGACTCTCTTCCTTCCTTCCTTCCTTCCTTCCTTCCTTCCACTTTTCCTTTCTCCCTCCCTCCTTCCTTCCACTTTTCCTTTCTCACTCCCTACTTTCTTTACTCCCTTCCTTCCCTCCTCCTTTCCTTCCTCCCTTTCTCCGTCCTTCTTTCCTTCCTTCTTTCCTCCTTCCTTCTTTCCTCCCCGCTTTCCTTCCTTCCTTCTTTCCTCCTCCCTTCTTTCCTCCCTCCCTCCTTTCCTTCCTTCCTCCCTTCCTTCTTCCTTTGCTTCCTCCCTTCCTTCTTTCTTCCTTCGTTCTTTCCTCCCTCCCTCCTTTCCTTCCTTCCTTCTTCCTCCTGTCTTTCCTCCTTCCTTCTTTCCTCCCTCCCTTCTTTCCTTTCTTCCTCCCTCCCTCCTTTCCTACCTTCCTCCCTCCCTTCTTTCCTTAGGGGAACAACACGATTGCATGTACCATTTGTTACACTATCTTGCAGCAAAGAAAAACCTGCACCTTTGAATTATGAATTCAAAGGTGCAGGTTTTTCTTTAGTGTTTTGATGTGAGATAATTTCTCTTAACTTGTGCCCTGTGAAAGATCCTTACTGTTTTAGAATTGATGCAGTGACCAGCATGTATTTCCAATGTAGAGAGGTGAACTGTGTCTAGTTGAAGTTCACTAGATGCTCCATATAGTTTAGTCCTAGATAAATCATTGTTTTCCTGACAGAAACTATCATCTTTAGTCATCCGTGTGTAAAATTAAGCTATGGCATTTGCTGGCTTTATGGTTTGTGAAATAACAGGAGTAGACTGCACAAGTTTGACTGCATGGACCATCTGCATAGGTATATTTTGAGTGCCATGTATGAGCCTTAACAAATAGCCATTCTTGTCTTCAAAATGGAAACATGAATGAGTCCATAATGGACCAGGGGCCCTGACACAGTCTGCTAGGTGCACGAGAAGGTGTATGTTCGCAGTTTCGTACCGCTCACCATAGAGATTAGCCATTTGAGAACAAAAGTTCCACAGTAGTTTCTCTGCATGATGAAATTTGACTCTTCTGCACACTCCTCACTTAAACCCTCTTCAAATCCCTCACTGAACATATGTCCATCATCATACGTCCAATCCCCCACATCAGGGAAAGCTTCCTCAAATGATTGAGATGGATCATACTCAGCATTGCCATGTAGTTCAGTTGTTAGGCCATCAGGAGGATGTCTGAAGGCTGATCTGGAAGATGGTTCTTCATTGTCTTCGATAGAGTCAACAGTTGAAATACTCTCTTGTGCCACGCTTCCTTGTGCTGGTAATAAAATAGAATAAAAATCATTAAGGGTAAAAAAACATCTTGTCACAACGCAAAACCTATATCGTCTCAGCCTGTATATCACTTTCTTACACTCAAATGATGTTGTCATATTTTAGCAGGATCTGCTCAGTGACAAAATATACTGTACATCATTAGACAGACAGACAGATAGACAGACAGAGGGTGTGTGTACCTGGCAGGTGGTGAGAGGCTTCATGTTCTAGAGTGAGTGTGGTACATCCTGCATGGACATCCGGAGGTTGGACGTGTTTTGCGTGAAGTGCAATGGAACACATTATACAAATACAGCTAATGGGATTCATATTCTTTTTTCCCCACATCTTGATCACATTGTAGCAGTTTATGTTTACATCTCTTTCTGTGTTTGTGATAACAGTAATCCACAGTGTTGAATGTAACTCTTCACAACACAACACACACATAACAATGAGAAGTTGTGGGACCTCAGGTGAATGAGTAGCTGGACAGGGTTTGGAAGGATATATATATGATACAGGCTGACAGTGACAGACAATGCCAATAATGAGTAGAATGCCACAGGAGCAAACAAACATGAGGCTGCAGCCACATGTTTGTTTGCTCCTGTGGCAAACAAACATGAGGCTGCAGCCACACGGTGACCTATATGAAAGGATCATGGCCATATGTTATTAACAGCCTTAACTTAAAGGTGAAAGGTTCAAAGAACATTAATTATACATGCTGAGATAACTCACATTTCACGTTTCATTCTTCACACATGCTATTGTAATCAGGATAAGAGAAAGCAATATTGCCATGCTTGGTTTGACCAACTGTGGACTGCATTCTATCTATCAATCTATCAATCTATCTATGTACAGGGCCTGTGATTCTCAATCAGAACTAATTGTGTTCAGGATATCTCTCTCCTCTGCACTTGGGACTGGGTGTGGCTAAAACAGGTCAGACAGCAGAGAAGAGGACTTTTGAACATAAAACACACACACACACACACACACACACACACACACGCACACACACACACACACACACACATTTCATAACTTACCTAAATATTGCTGATCAGTCTCCACATGAACATTGGTGGCTGCAGGGAGGGATGACTGCAGGGAGGAAAATAAGGTATTAAATATCATATCTACTGCAAGTTTGCTGCAACACGGCTATGCCAGGCTACTCACCAGTTGTGCAGTCCTTCTAGGTCGTTTATTTGGGTCTTCTTTATTACCAGTCCTTCTCCATTGTTTTCCAGGTTTTCCTCTGGTCATTTTGACACTCCAATACTATATAAATACAGACACAAGTTGCTGGAATATACAGTGGAACTTTTTGTAAAAGTAAAACTCTATGATGAATCATCAAGTGTTTGTTCAGTAATAGGGGTTTCCCCATCTAAACAGCTCTTTAGTAAACAGATATACATTTTTTAACAATATTGTTCCACTTCCAATTTTGTCTGTTCATTTCTTTGTACCATTTTGATTTCCCTCTGGAATAGATAGTTTCTCTATCTTATCTTATCACTTCCAGTTTCACTTGTTTATTCTTTATCCTGCATGAATTCTCTCTCCTAATTGGATAAAATTGATATCCTGACCTGAAAATGCATTTTCTGTTTACTAAAGAGCAGGGGAAAACAGGGAGACCATGGTCATTTAACAATTATAGCAATGACTGGTATCAGAAATAATATAGAGCTGTTTTATTAATACTAGGCTACTGCACTGTTAAGTACCACAATTTCAAAATCTTACGTCAAATTACAAAATAATTATTAGCATCATATTCTTAAAGTAGCAAAAGTATTGATCATTAATGATCAATTTTATCACTTTAATGTAAATGCAATGTCAGCTCATTTGTATTACTAACTCATAAAAATATCATAATGTATAATCTACCTAAATAATCTAATAATTAACTATGTAGCAGCATGAAATATACATTATCAAGAACAAATACAGCTAGGCTTAGGTGCTTAAATTTAATTTATCACCACTGAATGAATACTAGAGTTTCTATGTGGTTACAAAGATGTGTGTTTTGTGCCAAACAATTTCACAATTATTCTTTGAGACGCACGTGTAACGTTATTTCCGAATGTTTTGACCTTTCTGAAGAGTCTGAAGTCTATGAGATTCGTAACCACAGATATAGCGAGTTGTAATTATTTTAATAAAGAATAGACGTTCTGTCTCAGTAGACATATATGTATTAGCTAGGTGTAGCTAGGTATCATAGCTAGGTGTGTGCCGTTGAATGCGGCATTTATATCTCTATGTTTCGTAACGCGGTGACGTTACTGTAGTTGAAAGAATCCTACCTCATGTGTGTTAACAGAGTCCGTTTATTCGCAAAACAAAAACAATTTACGCTATTACTTACTTTTAGTCGTTATTCTTCAGAGACGCTGTGCTGCTTCTTCCAAACGTGAACAAGTCAGTTCTGCCCCCCAAAATGAGCATGCGTGCAATGACAACTCATGTTTTCAGGACGACAGAATGTCATTGGACAAATCTCGTGCCACGCACAATGATGTCATCACGTTCAAAAAAGACACAATTTCATTGGACCATTCGGCATTCTTGAATGTTGCAGCTGTGGGAAGATAAGAGACAGACGTGACCTTTGACCGCTGCTGCTGCTGCTGCTGCTGCTGCAAGTTTTGCCCCAGCCACGCTGAGACTTGGAGAGGTAAGAATTGTAATATTCTATATTAGGTGGTCAACTACGTAACATTGTGAAGAGTTGAATAAAGAAATTTTTTTGACATAAGGTGAAATATTTAACTGTTGTGACGACGGAGTGGTCCGTTGGAAGGTGGAATTAGGTAAGCTAACGTTAATGGCGTCTGTCCAACAAGTAATGTTAGCAATGATTTGATTCAATTTAAACTTGACTTGGTTGAGTCCCCCAATGGCTCTATAGGCACCCCTCCTATTTTTGCTCTACACTAAATATCTCTGATGAAATAGCAGATCTACAAGTTCACAACACATCATGTTATGAGTCGGCATGTTGTGAGCTTGCATTTCATTTCATTTACCTTTATTTGTTGTAGAGGGACAATGTACATTAATGAACATTTTAAAAATAAAATGTAAATGCACCCAATTGTAGCCAAAAGGCTAATTTCCATTGGCAGTCCCCCTGGAAATTAGTGGAATGATCTGCTCTTTTCTGGGACGCTAGGGTTCATGGTTTTAAAATTATTTAATCTTGGTGGTTTTACAGGTTATGAAACTAAACTAACATTCAATTAGGAAAATAATTTGATTTAATTTTTGCTCATTTTGATACAACTCTTGCCCCCAATGATATGAAGTGAATTAGGTTAAAATAGTGTCTATTTATATTATACTTAATGATCCAAAATTTATTTTTTCATTAACAGGATGGGCAAAAAGAAAATACCAGCAAAAAGGAGGGTACGGGTAATGAGCAATCTGGTAAGTATTGAGGTAATACTGTGGGGGTGGGGGG